CTAACACGATGAATCACATTTATTTATTTTTGTATGTTGAACCATCCTTGCACCACTGAGATGACTCTTATTTGACCGGCGAAAGTGATCTTTTTTTTTTTTGAGGCGGAGTTTCGCTCTTGCTACCCAGGCTGGAGTGCAATGGCGCGATCTCGGCTCACCGCAACCTCTGCCTCCTGGGTTCAGGCAATTCTCCTGCCTCAGCCTCCTGAGTAGCTGGGATTACAGGCATGTGCCACCATGCCCAGCTAATTTTTTTGTATTTTTAGAAGAGACGGGGTTTCACCATGTAGACCAGGATGGTCTCGATCTCTTGACTTCGTGATCCACCCGCCTCGGCCTCCCAAGAGTGCTGGGATTACAGGCATAAGCCAGTGCGCCCAGCCTAAAAGTGATCTTTTCAATGTGTTACTGATTTCGGATAGCTCGTATTTTTAGAGGATGTTTGCTTGTGTGTTGATCAGGGATACTGGCCTGTAGTTTTCCTTTTTGTTGTTTTTGTGTCTTTGTCTGGCTTTGGTATCACTGTAATGCTGGCAGCTCATGTATTTCTATTTGATTTGTAAAACTTTTTTTGGAATAACAGATTCTGCAGTGAAAATAAATACAGTAAACATTAGACCTGATGCTCTGGACCCGAGCTCTCGCACAAGCCTCTGACTGGAATTTTATTACAAAGAATTGAAATGAGCAGCACATTGCCAGAGACCGGGACAGTATCATGGAACTGTGAGAGGTGTTCACAGATAGACATTCCATAATTCCAGTACCACCACTTACAGGCTAGGTGGCCTTGAAAAATTCTCTTTCTCTCTCTCTCTCTGAATCTTTCTCTTTATTAAATGGGTACAAAAATAATCTCAACCTTCAGATAAATATGCTGAGCCCAAAGCAGGGGACAGAATAAATCCTCCATAAATGGTGGCTGTGTTTGTTGACATTCAAAGATAACAGGCATAATCAGGAAAACAGCTGAGGCCACCGGGGAGGACCCAGACCTAAGACAGAGCCCTCTCCTGTGCCGGCCACTCCCTCTGCCAGGACACAAGCCCCACATCCACTCCAGGAAGAAGTAAGAGCAAGTCGTGCTGACTATGCCTCCAGGAGGTCCCCGCACTGACCACGGCCACTCAAGTGGACACCAGCATCTCCTGCCTAAACAGCACAAGGGTCTTCTGATGTGTGTCCCTGCCCCCCTGTTTATATCCCCCAGGGAACACCGTCCTCACAGCCACCACGGGGATGCGGAAAATAGGCCTCAAGTGGCCTCACAACCCTAATCCCAAATTGCCAATGACCCCTGAGCCAGCCCCGCCCCTGGCTGCACCTCTCCAGCTTCATCTCCCTGAGCCATTTCACAACCTGCCCCTTTAAACACCGGCCTTCTCATTTCTCTGTGTTCTCCCTAAGCCCATAAGTTAGAGGTTGTGTCTATCTTGCTGGGCTCTGAGTCTGTCATCACTCAAGGACAAATGCTGGGTGAATGAGACAGAAGGAGGCCGATGACCCCAGGTCCCAGATGAGTGGAAGAGAGAACCCCAGGCCCAGTGGGCACTGCCGCAATGACCTCATGGTATGTATGTGTGCATACGCGTATGACCGCCTAGAAAATTACAGCTCTCCAGGATGGAGCTGGCCCAGTAGCAGAGAAAATAAAATGTCCCATATCCCTGGCAGGACAAATCTCCCAAAAGCTCAGCAGGAAGATGTGGGATCTGTGAACAGGAGGGCACTTGGTAAAATCCCTCATTTGATGTTGATGTGAAAAGTTAAACTTGATGCCCTGAGGGCCCTGCATTCTTCCCACACCCCATAGGGCTCCTGCTGAGCCAGCCAAGACTCCCAATGCAAGTAGGGGGGGAAAGAGTTAAAAGACAGGAAAACTACTGGGGCCTCAGGGCATGGAAGGAGCCCTGGACCTTTCTCTCCATGATCTCTCCCCTACTCTCAAGTCCCTTTGGCCCTGGAACGTCCAGAGACCCCTGCATCCTTTCCTTCCCCTGGCCCTGCCTTTGCCAAAGCTCCATGCATTTGCCTCCATGTGGGTCCCCAACCCCAGGCTCTGGGAGCTGTGAGGAGGCTCAGGGTTCCTGCAGTCTGCTGGAAGAAGCGTTGATCTGCATGGACCTGTGTGGGTTCTGGGATCCCTTCCTGCAGAGGCCCCACAGATGCATCTTCCCTAGAAGAGCCAACAGGGATGGGTGAGGATCCCAAACCTTCTTCCAAACCCCACACCTGAAGAAGGAAGAGGGATCATCTGAAGCAGAGACCAGAGGGAGTGTCCAGGCCCCACAGTCTCCACCTGATCCCAGAAGCCAGAGGTGTGGCCACAGACACCCCACCAACTCCTCATGTGCCCCCAGCCCAAGATGAAGAAACTCCTCCAGACTCCCTGACTCATCTCAACTTAAAGAAAGTAGGACAATTCTCCAAGGCGGAGAAGACACCAGCTGCCTCTGTGGTGCTGTGCCCAGGAGGAAGATCACTGTTCAAACTGCCTTGGGAAATTATTTCAAAGAAATAAAGCCCTTGGATTCTCAGTGTTTTGAATGGCATTGCACTTAATAAACATGAGTTTTACTATTGTTTTCCATTTACCTGTATGTTTCTATTCAGCAGAGAGAGTTCTTAATATCCCAACAAAAAGTGGTTAAAGGACATGGGACAACTGTCATTGTCCCGTGGATTGTTAAGATCACTCTGCACATTTCATCTTGCACATGCATTTTTTCTGACCTGCGCTGCAGCGGCGAGCCAGGTGTACTCCATCAGGTTCATCTTCCAGATTCTTTGCTCTCTGTTTGTCTTCCTCAGTAGCACCCAGGACAGTAGATGGCATATCCCAGGCACTCAGTGAAGGTTTTCGAATGAATTAAGGGGAGAGGAGGGAGAGGGAGGCACTGCGTGTTGGGGGGTCCCATGTGCCAGACTGTTCTCTGAAAGCTTGACCCAGAGCCTCCCCTCCAGCCAGGGCCTCGTGATGCCCCTCAGCGCTGGACATGGCAGGATTTTTCCAAATCAGAATCAGTGCTCACCTTCTCCATCCACAGGAAGGTGCGGGCAGCCTGATGGGCCCTGGTTTGACTTCCATGCTCTAAGACACTCCCCTGGCTTGCAGGAGGAGATTTGGGGTCACTTGGATGACAGGGACTCTGGGCCAGACTCCGTTCTCCCTCATTCCCTCCTGAAAAGCGCAATCCTCCCTGTTCCAGCAGGCTGTGATGTGTGAGGAGACAGAAATGCATAATTTTCAAAGAGCATCCCTTTCCCTGGCCTCAGGCCAAGGCCGCTTCCCTCTGACCTGTCCCTTGTCTTTGCATTCAGGATGGACGCTCGCCACCTGCGCTTACCCCCTAGAACTCCCCACTGGCCTGACTCTGTGCCCCTGGGGAAAAGTGGGCCAGCCACTGGAACCTCATGCAGACCAGGCCACACAGACGGCCTTGGGAAATCACAGTGTCACATTCAGGCCCCAGTGCCCCCAGGGTCTCAGACACTAGTCCCTACCTTTCAGGGACACAGCTCTGTGACAGCCAGAGAAGCTGGCCCCCTAACTGCTGCCATCTCCCTCCTCCTCCCTTATTCCACTCCCCATCAGCTCCTCTGGGCCACTCCCTGCTGGGCTGTGTTCTTGCCCTGAGTTCCTCTGGCTCTGTCCAGCCTGCAGCCAGTGTCAGGAACTCCCCCCATGCCCAGGGTGCTACAAGCACCTCCCTCAGCATCAACTGTCTGCTCTGAGGGTGACCCTGTCCTCAGATTTTATTGGAGGAAAAAAAGGGGCAGCCCCTGGCATGACAAAAAGTGACCTGACTAGGACAGAAAACTGACTGCATTCCAGGTGCAGCCTTGTCAGCTCTCAGGCTGGGCCCAGGGAGCCTGGAAAGGGATGGCCCCTGACCCAGAACCTCTCCCAGGATTCCCATCAGCCTGACACCTCTAGGACAACCAGAGGATCACGTCTTTTTCTGCAAGCCACGCAAGGTCAGCCCACAGCAGTCCTGGGCGCCTATTTAGGTCCAGAGTAGCCGCTGAGGAGCTATCTGCTCTGTGCCTTGCTACATTCTCCAAAATAACTCAGTAGAAGATGGGGAGAATTCCTTAATCACTGCTGATTCCAGGGAAAAGGTCTCCAAGCATCATGGCCGTGTTCCAAGGTCCAGGAGAGATGGGCTGACGTTCCTGGGCTGCAGAGAGAGTGGGCTGCCTGGCCCTTTCCAGGCTCCCCTCACCCAGGCTTACAGCTGACAAGGCCACACCTGGGGAAAGAAACAGACGTTCAGAAATATTCTAGAGACTCTGGAGACCCTGAGCAAGGGCGTGGAGAAAACTTTGAGATCCCAGTGGGGATTCCATGAGTGGAGAAGGGGTCAGGTCGTCCCTTGAGATGAGCTGCGAAGGCTGCCCTGACCTGGGCAGCAGACAAGCACCTTGAGAAGAACATGGTAGGAAGGTCCCCCAAGTGCAGGATTCTCGCTGGGGTCCTGGGGGTGGTGCAAGACTCCCTGAATTGGGCAGGAAAGGGAAGCCTGTCCATGAGATCTTTCCAACATTTAGGTTGTTGAACCGTTTGGGGGATGCTCTGAGCCCCTCCCCTGAGGGATCTGCCAGTCATCTGCCACCTAAACATGGGCAGGTTCCTCTCCCTGGCCAAGTCTCAGGGTCACCAGGTTTAAAATGCGGAAAATAGCAACATGCCTTAGATTCTCTGTGAGGGAGAGCTGAGATCCTGGATGAATGGTACCAGCCCCCTGCTGTGCCTCCTGGATGCCCAATCAGCAGAGATGCCCACGACCATCCTTGGTGCTGAGCTGATCCTCAGCCTCAGGTTCACAAAGCAAGGGCCTACAATGTAGAAGCCCCACTGAGCACGTTTCAGTTTAACTTGATTGCACACATAGTAGGGCATCAAGAGTGAGGTCAGAAATGTGGAGAAGGAACATTTACAGAAACATTCCAAGATAGAGAACATCGTTCAAACTACCCCAGTTTTGGTGGCCAGTGGCATCTCAGAGCCGTTTGGGTTTCACATGGGATGGGAGAGAAAGGCCTGGAGGACTTTCTGGAGGTGGGGAGGTACTCGCTACTCTGGGAAAGGGCTGCCCACCATGCAGGGTCCACTGAGGAAACAGGAGCTTCTCCTCTAGTGGCACTGAAAGGTACAGGCAATGGGACCAGGCAAAATCCAAAGGGAAAAGGGGATGGACAAAATCAGAGAGAGGGAAGAGTGGCAGGGAGGGGAGCTGCTGATGTCCGGGACATGAATAAAAGCTCAGGCCCTTGCCTTGCCTTAATTTGGAGCCTCTCTTTTACTCACAGGCCGTGGAAACTTCAAGGGCTGAAATGGCGGATGTGGATGAGAACTTCCGGGGCATATGGTCTGGAACCCCTGCACCCTTCCCAGAGGCCCTGAGTAAGACGCAAACAGCAGAGAACTGTCCAGAAACAGGCAGGCAGCGGCCCTTGGTGGTGTTGGTAGACCTTTGCCTCACGAACGGGACGCTGGATGAATGCCTCACCCACCTTTTAGAGTGGGGTAAGCAGAGAAAAGGCTTACTCCACGTGTGCCGCGGGAGCTGCAGCTTTTTGGAATGCCCGTTCCCCGTGTCACAGAGGTCCTGAACTTAGTGGAGGTTGACTGTATCCAGGAGGCAGACGTGTGCTGCCCTTCGAAACTGTCCATTCTTGTGAAGTTTGCCCCTTACCTGGGCCAGAGGAGGAATCTCCGCAGATTGTTCTCGTCAGCCCTCATGTATCTGCCTGCATTCCTCCAGATGAAATGAGGTAGTTACTGCCCGATTCACCTCTCAGTTCCTCAAGCTGCGCTACTTCCAGCATCTGCCTCTGTACTCTGTCTCTTTCCTCAAAGGCCACCTGGACCAGCTGCTCAGGTGAGGGAGGAGGATGAGCTTTCTCTGCAGACCACAGCAGAGCCTTTCTTTGTTCCAGTAAACACCAGAGGGCATCAACTGCGACCCAGCCTATGGGAGGTGATAGTGAAGGGGACACCAAAATGTCCATGCATTGTCCTGTTTGCAGCTCTGTCCTGAAATGGGGATCACACAGCCATTCCAATAAAGGCAGAGGGATCACCTGGGCTAGATGCCATCGGGAAGGTGCCATTCAATGAAGCTAGCATGGAGGGTTCAGATCTATGAGGGTGCATTTGTGAATTTTTCCTAAGGATGTGTGTCTAGGTTAAGATGGTGGGAAGTAGAAAGGTGAAGAGGGCACTAAAGAACAGAATACCCATCACACTCCTATATTTTAACACACAAGCTCTGTCCTCACCTGCCCAGTGAACAGACAACATCCTGTCTCTCTCTCTCCTGTCAGTAGAGTGTTTTGAGCTTCAGGTCAGATCATTAATGTATGGGAAACGCATGATGTTGGAACGGAGGGTGAGGGAGCAGGAGTGAAGAATGGTAAAAGTGAAAGATGGTTTGCAGATGGCACAGGTATGTCAGGGACCCCTGCGGCCTGGTCACCACAGCTCATGTTGCAGGATCCTGCCTGGGTTTGTCCTTTATGCCTGTGTCTCTATTGGGCTTCTGTGGCCCAGAGATGTGGTCTTCTGCCTGACAGATGAGGAAAGGGAGTCTTAGAGTTCATGGACTTGACCCAGTCACCTGAGTGATGATGAAGGAGTGAGCCTCAGTTGGGACTGCCCTGAATGAGCAGCATCTCCATTCCCAAACCTGGGTGCTGACTATCAGATGAGCAGAGTTCACCTCATGAACTCTTGGGTTGGAAACGGGGTCATCTTTAACCCTGAGGTCACCCCCATTACCTCCTCTAACTCCTCCTTGTGATCTCCCAGGTGACTCCAGGCCCCCTTGGAGATGGTCGTAATGACCGACTGCCTGCTGTCAGAGTCAAACTTGAAGCATCTCTCTTGGTGCCCAAGCATCCGTCAACAAAAGGAGCTGGACGTGAGGGGCATCACACTGACCCATTTCAGCTCTGAGCCCCTTGCAGTTCTGCTAGACCAAGTTGCAGCTACTCTGCAGACCCTGGACTTAGACGACTGTGGGATAACTCAGCGTCATCCCGCTTGCCCTGAGCCGCTGCTCCCAGCTTAGTGCCTTCAGCTTCTGTGGGAACCTCATCTCCATGGCCGCCCTGGAGAACCTGCTACGACACCACATCATCGGGCTAAGAAAGCTAAGCCTGGAGCTGTATCCTGCCCCTCTGGAGAGTTATGACACCCAGGGTGCTCTCTGCTGGGGGAGATTTGCTCAACTGGGGCTGAACTGATGAAGACACTGAGGGACTTAAGGTAGCCCAAGATCACTGTGTTCAGCACCGTCCCCTGCCCTCCCTGTGGTGTCAGGACCTCCAATGACCTGGAGCCCAGTCACTGCCTCTGTTGAATGCCTGCCCATCAGGGTGGATAGATTTCAAGCTTTCTTCTGGTGATTTGGGAACTGAAACCCAGGCCATGAGTGCATGGTAAAGGGAGCACAGACCTGTCATTCCAGATGCCTGCTCAGTGTGAATGGGAAAGGGAAAGGGATGCTGCAGGGATGGGGCTAGGGAAAAAGTTGACTTGGAGTCGATGGGATCTTTAGAGACCCGTGTCCCAGAGAATCGGAAATGGGAAACCGAATTGCTAGAGTGAGACTCAGTAGGAGAGACACATGACAGAGTTACCCCTGCACAGATGCTTGTAAAGAAACAGTCAGAAATCAAAAGAAACTGAGTGGAAACTATCTGGTGTCCTCCGTGATTGCTTTACCGGGCTTAACAATTTAAACCTAAAAAGCTCCAGTTGGACATGTGATCCAAGATGGCCGACCACTAACACCTCGGGATTGTAGCTCCCAGTGAAAGCTCAGAGAACGAGACGATGCCACATCTTTAGACAAATTTTCATCACTCACCGATCAGCCGATTCCCAGTGGAGGAGCCCCACGGGTCGCCAGCGCGACTCTTGTGGCTGCCGCAGCGGTTTTGCTGGCGTCTCGGCGCAGCAGCTCTTCATGCAGAGCCAACGGGACTGCTTCCCCTACTGACCAGAGTTTGGAGCTCCAGGAAGTCAGAGCCGCTTGTTGCGGACTCAAGAGCGAAGCCAGACCAGAGATTCCCGGGCAGAAGAGCACCATCAGTCTTATCGCTGCGATTTAGGCCGCCACAGTGGGTTGCTAGGATCCCAGCACTGGGAATCAATAAGTCGGACGTCGACTCAGAAACCTAATTAGAAAGGCGGTTCATCTACAATGAAGGGAAAAAAACAGCCTAAGAAGGCCGAGTATACTCAAAATCAGAACCCATCAGCAACGGAACAAGCCCTGATGGAAAAGGACTCATCAGCAACCGAACAAGCCCTGATGGAAAAGGACTGTGTTGCATTATCTGAAGTTGGCTTTAAAAGGTGGATGATAAGAAACTTCTGGGAGTTAAAGGAACTTGTTCTAACCCAAGGTAAAGAAACTAAGAACTTGGAAAAAAGGTTCGATGAAATGTTGAAAAGAATAGACAATATAGAGAGGAATATAAATGAACTTATGGAGTTGAAAAATACAACACGAGAACTTAGTGAAATATGTACAAGCTTAAACAGCCGAATGGATCAAGCAGAAGAAAGGGTATCAGAGGTCGAAGACCAACTTAATGAAACAAAATGACAAGACAAGAATAGAGAAAAAAGGATAAAAAGGAATGAGCAAAGTCTCCAAGAAATATGGGACTATGTGAAAAGACCTAATATACGCTTGATTGGTGTACCTGAATGTGACGGAGAGAATGAATTCAAGCTGGAAAATACTTTCCAGGACATTATCCAGGAAAATTTTCCTAATTTAGCAAAGCAGGACACTATTCAACCCCAGGCAATACAGAGAACACCACAAAGATATTCCTCAAGAAGACCAACCCCAAGGCACATAATTGTTAGATTCACCAAGATCAAAACGAAGGAGAAAATATTAAGGGCAGCCAGAGAGAAATATCAAGTTACCCATAAAGGGAAGCCTATTAGGCTTACAGCAGATCTCTCAATGGAAACCCTACAAGCTAGAAGAGAGTGGGGGCCAATATTCAATATACTTAATCAACAGAACTTTCAGCCCAGAATTTCATATCCTGCCAATTTAAGCTTTACATTTGAAGGAAAAATAAAATCTTTTAGGAACAAGCAAGTACTCAGAGATTTTATTACCACCAGGCCTGCTTTACAAGAACTTCTAAAAGAAGCATTATACACAGAAAGGAACAACCAGTATGACCCTTTCTAAAAATACACCAAAAAGTAAAGAGCATTAACATAAAGAAGAATTTTCATCAACGAAAGGACAAAATAGCCAGTTAATATCAAATGGCAGCAACCCTAAATTTAAATGGACCAAATCTCCCAATCAAAAGATACAGACAAAATCTAATGGTATATCCAAAGATATACATAGACTCAAAATAAAGGGTTGGAAAAAAAAAAACATACCAACCAAATGGAGAGCAAAAATAAATAAAAAGCAGGAGTTGCAATTTTCATATTTGACAAAATAGATTTCAAAGCTACAAGGATACAAGGGTAAAAGGATTAATGTAATAATAAGAGATCTTAACACCCAGATACATAAGACCCATAATGAGATTTAGATTCAACGAGACAGAAAATTGATAACGATATCCGGGACTGGAACTAAGATCCAGAACAAATAAACTCAATAGAGCTCGCCATTTTAAACACACAAAATATACATTATCCACAAAATCTAACGATATATCTAAAGATATACAAAGACTCAAAACAAGGGGATGGAAAAAAACTCACCAACTAAATGGAGAGCAAAAATAAATAAATAAAAAGCAGGAGTTGCAATTCTCACACTTAATAAAATAGATCTCAAAGCTACAAGGATGCAAGGGTAAAAGGATTAATGTAACAATAAGAGATCTTAACACCCAGATACATAAGACACATAATGAGATTTAGATTCAACAAGACAAAAAATTGATAATGATATCCAGGACTTGAACTCAGAGCCAGAACAAATAAACACAATAGAGGTCTCCATTTTAAACACATAAAATATGCATTAACCACTTTAAACACTCAAAATATTGATCGGCCATTATTGAAACCCATTTTAGGAATGAAGTAATATTCCTTATTCCCTCTTTTTCATTTTTCCCCTTCTTTTTCTCTTTTTCCCTCTAAAAAAAAAAAAGCTCCAGTTACTGATGGCAGAAAGAAGGTACTGATTTGTTTGTGAGTAATGAGGCTCAGCTCCCGGAAATCAAGGCATCAAAATGGAATTTGATCACTTGGATCAAATTTGATCATTTGGATTTTTTTTTTAAAGGTCTCCATTTTGTGTTGGAGATCATACTAGATGGCTGTTTTCTTCCATGAGCTGAGGATTCTCTCGCCTGAATTCCTCTTTAACCATCTCATTGTAATTTTCTATTACTGGGTTTCCCTGGGGTCTCTGCTAGTGATTCAGGTGGTTCTTTTCTCTTCTTTTCTTTATAAAGATGGGGTTTCACCATGTTGGTCAGGCTGGTCATGAACTGCCGACCTCAGGTGATCCACCCGCCTTGGCCTCCAAAGTGCGTGGGTTACAGGCCTGAACCACGCCCAGCCTCTGGTGGTCCTTTTCATAATGACAGGCACTATGTTAGGACCTGAACTGCTGGCACGTATCCCTGCAGCTGAGTATGTGGTAGCAATTTGGATGCCTTTGGCAGGCTGTGCTTCAGCCTACGGCTTAGCTACTCTTTTCCATCTTCCACCCAACTGCAAGAGGCCTGTATGATTGGAAATAGGTAGAATGTGCGGCTCTGCACAGCCATTCCAAAACCGGCCTTTCTGCCACAGTTCCTCGGAAGCACGTACGTTTCCCTTGCTCTCTGTTCTTTTCCAGTCTGCAGAAGCAGGGATTTTTGTTTTGATCTATCAAATCTATGGAAGTAAAATGTTGCACAAGCAAGATCCTCTAGATGAAGAAGATACATACATTTCTTATAAAAAAACTAAAAAGAGGAAGGGCAGACACTTCCTATGGCACAGTGAAAGCAGACCATGTAATGATGATGGAAACCGCTCAGACTTCTCTCTAAATGTGGAGATACACAGGAGCTTCTGTCTTGCTGAAATATTGCTTCGTAGTATGGCCCGTGGTAGTGCAGCTGGTCAACATAAAGGATAAGAACTGGTTCACACTGTCACACATGTAACAATTCTCATCTTTTCTTTTTAAGGTTCGTTGGTGTATTCACCAAGCGTTGTCACAAATGACAAATCAATGCTGTAATATAATTTGCACCTGGGATGGCTAACATGCAGCCTCAACTAGTTAAATGTGCTTTTTACTTTTTACCATCACCAGTTTTTACGACTGTTGCAAATACAGAAACTATCAGAAAACAGGGTCTCGGAAATGTAGAATTTTGGCACTCTGTTCATGAGTAAAAAAGAGCTATGTTTGTAAAGCATGACTGAGTTTAATGTAGTTGTTGTAAAAACAAAACTGTGTGCTTGCTCGACTTAAAATTCCTGACAACGTTGAACTTTGACTTGTATTCAGAAAAATTCCAAAACAGGTCAGTTACATAAGGAAGTACAGTATTTGTCAAGCCAGTATCAGAGAAAAGTTACATTAATGTTTGATTGCTGGATCTGGTATCTACTCATTAGTAATGAATACACATCTTTCTAGTGGAGGAGCCATGTTCTTTTCGATGGGCCTTCTGCATTTGTGCAAACACACCCGAAATCAATTGATCTTCTGGAGGAATGATTTGGTTGGGAAATTTTCCGCTCTGGAGCAGAGCAAAACGGTACCTTCTGGTCACCACTGGGGCTGGGAAAGGGAGGCCTCCAGGGGAGAAAACAACCTAGATGAAGATGCCCTGGGTGGTTCTGCACGCCCTCGCAAAGACGGCTCAATGGGTAGCCTCTCAGAGCAGCTCTGAGATCAACTGTCGTCTGAGTTAATGGGTAATGACCCAGAACAGTTCCCAAAACTTGGCACTTTCGCTCACCAGCCAGAGACACCCGGCCTCGGCTTCCCGCGGCGCAGGCGCCTGGAACAATCAGGGCACCTGGAGGAGCCAACTCAGCTGAGAGCGGTGATGTGTTTCTCTCCTTGAAATCCTCCTCACCTCGGGGCGCCTTGGTTCCCCTACAAATCAATCAGCCCTTTCAGGCAAAGAAGACCCTCTTTCCAGATCATCTAAGGGTCATTGTGCCAACATCCGGGTGTGGAGAGTTTCTGCAGGGAGAAGGACGCCGAGGGCCCCCTCCTCGCCGAGCCGGTGGCTGGAAGGGCGTGGAGTCGGGTGGGGGCGTGGAGACCCCTCCCCGTCTCTGTTCCGACGCCCCGGCCAGTCGCCTATTTAGGGAGCGGCGGCGGCTGAGAGCAGAGTGCCC